TACTACTACTACTACTACTACTACTGCTACCACTGCGACGACTACGACTACGACTACGACTACGACTACGACTACTACATCTACGACTACGACTACGACGACGACGACGACGACGACCACTACTACTGCTACTGCTATACTGCTACTGCTACTGCTACTACTGCTACTACTACTGCTACTGCTACTGCTACTGCTACTGCTACTGCCACTGCTACTACGACTACTACTGCTGCTGATGCATGACGGCGATGAAGCTGCCGCTGCTGCTTCTGCTCGTCGGGGTGAAAACAATGTGACATCAATATGGTGATGACCAGTAGAAGCACCACGTTCATGCTCCTGGAGGTGTGACAGTGGTGGCGATAGTACCAGTACCAGACCAGCAGCAGCACACCATGACCCAAGTGTCGATGAATTCAACAATCACACTCCAAATGGTCCTGACCCAAACCCTGACAAAGCATCATAGAGCTGTGGGGCTGGTTCTTGGTGATGTGTTGGCAGTTGCTGCGATCCATATCCTGTAACGGTTCTAGGGAGAGCGCAGATTCCGGAGAGTTTTCCCTCCCACCTATATATACCCGCATTGGAGGGTAAGATTTCGGAGATAGGATTTGGGGTTATGGGCTGTTGGGCTGTTGTTAAGGCTTTGGTTCAGGGGGGGGGCTTAAGGCAGCAAGGATGCCGCAACTAACAGCAATCAGACGAGCCACACCGTGAGTCCTAGCAGTGACCAAGCGGACATAATACCAACACCAGTCGCAAGGATGGTAAACAGAAGGAGAGCAATTACACAGGGATAAGCACATAAGCACAGTACCAACAGTCGTGTGGATGGTGTCTTCCAGGGCTGGTCCTAACCTGGCTGAGCCCTCCCCCTGTGCGCCTTGAAGGAGGGGAGGAGGTTGATGCGATGTCTCTGCACCTTCGACCGGATCTTGCCTCAAATGTCAAGAGCAAGCGACCCTCCCTCGACATCCTCAGCTATTTTTTAGACTATACACTATAGGCATCAACCGGCACATGAACCGCAGTAACACGAGACTATGGCCACTGGTCCCTCCGTCGTCAGTCACTTCCCTTGTACGCCATTCTGGTCCAAGAAGCACCCGGTGGACAACAACAGAAACACATTTGGGAGTTTCAGAACAAACGGGACCCCAAGAGAGAGCAGCAAACAGAATAGAATCCTCACTATATATTCGTTTATAGTATAGCTATCTATCTATCTATCTATCTATCTCTCTCTCTATATATATATATAATGATATGTGTATATATATATATATGTATGTATGTATGTATGTATGTATGTATTTTTCTTTGATTACAACCGCCCCAGAAGCAAAGGCCCCCTTCCCCCTCCAGATTTCGTCGGGGACACTCTCGAGCCACTCCCATTGCTTCAGCCTCTCTTGGGTGAGCACAACCTTGTTGCGCCTGGACACATCAGGGTTTCCAGGGCTCTCGTTAGGGGGTTAAAGGATTTTAGGGTTTAGGGCTTAATTAGGGGGCCTTAGGGCTTACACTGATGGGGCTGATGGGGATGTTTCGACTTTAGAGCTGTTTCGGGTTTACGGTCTCGCAACTCGGACATGCCAGACGATGTCTCGCGGTTCACGGCCAGCTTGACAGGAGGTACCGGCAGTGCATATCAGGAAAAGCCTAACGTTCAAATTTAGGAGCGCCTTGCCACCATCGTTGAAGTGGAGTCGGGCATGCTGGTCTGAGCCTCGGTGCATGCTGCTATAAGGGTGCTTAAAATTGCATGTGTTTTCCATTAAGAAATGCCACATTTAATGGGGCATCTCCTACGATCTGCTCGGCATCTGCCAGGCCACCAGGGGATCTTTCTCCAGGTTGGGGGTCGCAAACTCCCTGTCGACATCCGCGCAGAAGTCTCCGTAGCCTGGGCAGCGCGGCACCCGCTTTCAGGATTCATGGAGGCGAATGATATCACCAGCATGACTTCCACTGTTTCGGCTTTGTTTCGGTTTCTCAGTCACACGGCAAACGAGTAAACAAAAGGGGCCGTTCTACGCAAGACACTCTCAAAACTGCAGCGTCCGACGAAGTGCGGCTCTCTTACCCGTAAACCTTGCTCTGAGTTCAATTCCAAAGCTTCAGCTGGTAGCACCCCGTCGAACCGCATCAAATGTACCAAATTTACCAGGGGGCAGAACATGCCGTCTTCGCGCTCGTAGCGGTGAAGGAGCTCCTCGTAATCCGCCGCCGTGACAGTCTTCCCAAGGTCACAGATGGTCAAGACGGTCTTGACCTGAGAAGCTTTGCAAAATCCCTTCTTCAAGTGGTCGAAGTCTTGGAAGTATTCCTTGATGCGGACCCTCTTCTCCACGACCTTTGCGCGCAACTTGTCCACGATGGAGTAGAGTCCCTGGCTCCACTCAGACTCATCTGGCTTAAGGACCAGATCACTCCTGGGAACGGGCGGGGGTTCATGTGAGGAAACTTCGGAGATGTCATTGTGCATGGCCATGAAGTGGACATCGCCTTTGTCCGTCATGTAGTTGTTGGCGAGAATCTCCACGTCCTCAAGTGGGAATTCCTTCTTGAAAGGGAATCTCTTGATGAACTGCTCCCTGGTCACCTTCCCGCCCATAAATGGCGAAGTTCTTGCTGGTGATGCCACCGGAGCACGGTCAATGTCGAAGAAGACCTGTTTGAAGAGAAGCCCACGCGCCTTGCAAAGGGCTGCCAAACGATGAAGGGCGTGCATGAACTTCTCCTCCTCTTCTGGAGAGCTTGGCTTAAACGACATGAGCTGAGTGGTGCTGGGCGAACAGGACATGTGATGCTCATCCGGGCTACCCACGAGATAGACCTGGTCGATTGCCTCACAGAACTTGATGTAGTTCACGACGGCCGGCGGAGCCACGTGCGCACCATGCTCCGTGAAGTGCTCGGCTAGCTCGTCGACTTCCTCCTCACTCAGCGCTGACATTCCCAGCATGTTTACCGCCCTGGCAAAATTGATGATGGTGCATCGTCCGTGCCTGAGCGGATCGAAGTCATTGAAGAACTCCTTGACCCGGATTCGCCGCGGGTACACGTACACCTGGATCTTGCTCACGAGCTCCGCGACGGCCCCGTCCATTTTTGCAAGGTTGCCGCTGAACGAGGTAGGGCAGTGAGTCAGGCTGAAGCCGAAATCTGCATAGTCTGGATTTGTGGTCTCAAGGCCCTATGCTTCAGGACGTGAAGTACATGACAATTCGACCGTCAGAACTCAGGAGCAGTCCCACGACTGCTTCGAGTGAAAAGGCAGTCTCGTATCTAGCGTCGGATAGCATCAACGCTTCTACGACATCAACATTCAAATGCCGGCCGCATCACATCCAGCCAGCGGACTCAGGTGGCATGCCAGCCTGCAGCCCTTGCTTATCGGACAGTACCCCATCGTAGCACAACCTGGCCTTCCGCCTCCATGGGAGCAACCTCTGTCGCCTCAGCCAAGCAAGCCCACATCGCTAGTCACCAGTTAGCATGCCAGGCTCAGCCGGCTAAGCCTACGACCAAAGGATGAGCGACATCAACTGCGATGAACCGGCTGCGCTTGACTGCCCTACATCCTTCATCCTGACATTGCTATAAACTATAAGCCCTGCAGGCCCTTGCGCCACCCTCCTCCCGAGCTGCTGAGGCAACGACTGCCGGCTCAGCCTGTAACAAGTTGCACGAGGATCTTGGAGCTGAATTCGGGCTTGCCTCCCTAAGCCCTTAGGTTGGCTCCGCATTCCGGGTGGGCGTTTCCGAGTTTCTGCGGTCCCAGAGAGTCGCTCCTCCCGTGTCGAGTTGGTCCCCAACCTTGGCGACATTCATATTAAGACAAGTGCAATATAATAGGTATAATACAGTATAATGTACTGTGCCATATGATAGAAGAGAATGGAAGAGCATAGAAACTAGTGTAACAACATAGAGTCGTTTCGTCTCAGCACTTCCAACTTTGACATGCCTGGGGCGAGGTCTTTGATAATTCTGTCAAACCCGGTTGCTGCAGTATCATCGCCGGCACATGCTGAAGAATCGGGCCATCCTCTTGAAGGCAAGTAGAACATGCTAGATGACTAGCAGCTAACACAATGCATCCCTTTTCGACGCTGACGCCTGCTCAGCTCTTTGGCCCCGTTTAGGGCAGCTATTTGTCTTCGAGGAGAAGTTCCTTAAGAAGCTACCGTCGGACAAACTCCTCGCCTTCGCGCTGTCGAAACTGATAAGGGTAAAAAGGGAGTCCCAACCACACAGCGGTCGATTTTGGCCGTCTGCTGTGGCTGCTCGATTCAAAAGCACTCCCTCGTGCAGCACAACCAAGAAGACTTGAAGGTGCGGTGTTCTTCAAATTCAACAATGTTAAATTCTTTCATGTCACAATCTGCTGTTTCTTTATAAGATGCTGCGATATTGTATTCTTTATGACTGTTGTTGGCTACAGAATTTCTTGTCTTGTGGGACCTTCGGAGCTGCGAGCTCTCGGATAAAGGAGGCTACGACTTCTTCAGGTGCTTGTGCCTGAAATTGCAATAGTTTCTCTGGATGGTATTTTTGGACTATTGCAGAAGCTCTGGCAATGTCTCCCACAGTTTGCGCTTCTTGAGCTTTTTGAGCATCATATCCTTCAGCTTTTGCAGATAGGCTTCCTTGTCAGTTGGCTTTGGCAGGTTTTGCTGAGCAAGGCTTTCCTCGAGCACCTTCTCCTCTGAGGACGTCTGCGGTGAAGGCTTCGTCTCTTTCTCCTTTGGCAGCTCTGGCAACTTTTCGGGCTCTGAGAGATTCGCTCTTTCCCCAGGAAGCTTCTGCTCTGAGGAACTCGGCTTTTTCGTGCTTGCACTAAGCTTCTGTCTTTGCCGTATGGTCTTTTCCACATGCGCCCGAGGCAGATCGTGAATCGGATGATGTTTCGTAGAATTGGCTTTCGGAATCTTAGCACCTGCTGCCGTACCGGACGAAGGGCACCCGACTGTAAAGAAGTAGGTTGATGTTGCTTGGCAAGTGACCAAGCCCATGCCATCATCGTAGGAATACCCATAGACTCCTGGACACATGTGGTGGATGGCACCGACCTTATCTGAGTACTCCCAGAAGCATATAGCTCACTACGTCAAACAACGTGCGCTCGACGAGCAAGGACTATACTCTGAACGATGAAAGCCATCCGCGAACGCTTTAGGGTCATTTAGCGTTACACTGACAATGCTGTTAAGCTGTCAGGAAGCGTACTTCGACCACTTGACGCTGCCAGCCCTGCACGCAGCCGGGGAAACCGGCGGCGTGGGGCAACAGTACTCCCGGCTGAACACATCCATATTGTACTGCGTAGTACTGAAACTGGCCCATTGATTCAGTGTCAGCTTGCTGCAGGGTGAATAGCAGCCGGCAGCCGTACTCGCTGTGGGGTGCCTCACTTGAAGGTCCACTGTGGCATTGCCTGCACTGTCGAACGTGTGAAAGGTCTCATCCTTGGGGCAATCGTCCACACTCAGCCTTGAACAGTCCACGCTCTTCGCTGAAGCATTCATGAGATGCCCGTCCGCATCCCAACAGCTGCCATGAATCTCAAACTTGAACGGGACGGTGTATCCATCCACCAGGCTGATATCCACCCAGTCGCAGCCTTCCCGCATGCCTGCTTTCAAGGATCCACTAATTGAACACTGGATGGACTCCATGCCTGGTTCGTGCGGATACAATCCAAAAAGTCTTGTTTCGTAGTAGGGAGTTCGACAAGCCTTTCCCCAGTCTGACGGAGCAGTGAAGAGGTTCGATATCCAAGAACAAGACCGATAATGGCGAAGGCACCACCACGAATAACAACCACGCCCACCAACCCCCCAACCCACACCACCAGCGAGAACGACACTGTCACCGTCAAACGCGTCACGACAAGCAGCCGCGGCGGCGAAAACGTCAACAACAGCAACAAGAAGACGTGTACGTACATGCACACTCACATGTACGCAAATCCCGTTTCGTCCAGCCCCACAGAACAGATCGACATCGAGTGCATCCGTTGATATAAGCTGGTGTGCACAAGAATTGAGTTTGGCCGGCCATGAAGCCTTCCAGTGGGCTGCAAGGCAGGCCAGAAATGCCAAAGGTGGCCTCAAACTTGGTGTCGACGGGCGGAGAGCCTTAGGCGGACATGTGCTGATAGGTTTGTAGGTTCCTCTAGGTGTTTATAGGAAACAGTTTATCGTGGTTTTGTCAGAGTCTGGATGCATCACACCAGATATCCTGAAAACCGTCTATTCTATACCCACAGTGCGAGGCATGGACCAAGGGCGTTCTGAAACCACAAGGCCTGGGTAAAGTAGCCCAAACAAAGAACCCACTGACTCCCGTGGACAAAGATTGAAGCCCTGAAGCACATCAACGCAACAACCGAAAAGCCTAACAGAACCCTTGTTGAAGACCTGAGTGGCCCTACAAGTACAAGAACACCCGTTCTACCCCAGCTTCATTGCTTTCGACTTTTCTTTTCACAACTGGGCTGTCGCTTGTTTTAGGGTTTAGGCTCTGGGGTTTAACAAAGGCCCAGGAACAGCCATCAGATCTGCAAATCTGCTGAGGTCCGCCGCTGTCACCAATCACGCACCTGTTTCCTTGATTGGAGGAGGTTCAGGGCGTTGATGGGTGTTTGAGCGTCGGGGAGGTGGACGGCTATTGCAGATACACTTCAGTTGCTTCGACATGACGTCCACCACAAGCATCCTATAGATAGTTTCATTTCGATTGCGACCAAGGCTGCTCTGGTCTCGGGTTATTATTGTAGTTGATATAGTTGTAGTTGTTGTCGTTATCGCAGCGAGTGAAGTTGATCCTCTACCCAGCAACAGAAAGTCTAAACGTATCTCACATGCTGGGACCCCAACACAGCCCAGGCCTGGTCAACATGCCATGAGTCGCAGGCCCTTACAGAGAATCCTAAACCCGGAAACTCTGAGGCGGTCGTGTTCGCTGTCAGCGCACCAAAAAGATGCCTGGGCCTAGACCCCTTTCTTTGCATCCAGCCTGTAACCCGAACTCTGAAACCCCAAACCTAAAAACCCTAACATCCTCAACTCTAAACCCTAGAGCCTCTTACAGAAACCCCTGGCCCTCTCCGAGACTCCGTCAGCATCGCAGCCGAACTTCGGCCAGTAGCGAGTGCTGGTCCTGGGCCGCCATGGGCGTCAGGTAATGCAGAGGAGATTGGACTCGTCATGTGCATGTACATGCATTGCGAGATACATTCTACTTTCTATGTTATGTTATATCATGTTACCTTACCTCGTCTGGCCGTACTTATCTTACCTTATCCTATACTGCACCATGTCATGTCACAGCGTCATATGATGATATGCTCTGTGTTCTGTATGCGAAGCACGAAAAGTTATATTACACAATCGACTATGGCATGCATTCTATTCTATTTTATTTCATATATATATATGCTACCCCCCC